ATTGCGTGAATGAACTTTGATCCCTACCTTCTTAACTTCTCACCTACAACAATGGTACATTCGTCCCTAGTATCAGTTATTTTCAAATATAATTTAGGAAAATGCTTACGAGTTCTAATTTTCTAAGTACATAATTCGAAAGTGAAATTGTATTTTGCTTTTTTCGCTCAGTGTTTATTGTTGAATAATTTTTAAGGGGCGTTCATGAAGATAACAATTTTATTTACGATATTTTGTTTATTTTTAAAGTATTTTCTGATCAATTTTATAGCATTTAATTCCAGCCTCTATCAATGTAATGTATAGTAATACTAACTATACATTTCAAGAATACATGTAATTTATTGATTTCGTTGTTAAAAAACGCTACCCAATAAGCAGTAAATAAATTCCAGTTTAAAATATATTAATAAAATAAAACTCAATTAGATTGTATAGTGGATGAGGAGATTGTCCTTGCGCAAATTCGTCGCTGAATGTGTTGGATAACCGTATCTGAATTTGGATATCGCTTTTGGAATAGGATACGACAGAATGATTTATCAGGCAAGTAGGTAGAAAGGAAATATCCGAACTCATTATGGTTATCTGCCATAGCAGTGCTGATAATTAAAAAAAAAAAAAAAGAATGAACGTTTAAAGCCGGTCCCTTTCACGAGATGACAGCGAATTAACCGCAAAACAAGAAATGGCATCCGGAAGTTTTACCGGATTTCCTGTACCGTAATTTACGACGACGTTCCAGCAACTGCTTTTGGGCGATTTTTATTTTCACTTGATAAGTACATATATATAATTTAATATAATAATATGACGTGTATACATTTTTCAGAAATTTGAAACCCTTAAACACATTTGTTATTACTGTTGGGCGCAAAAAATATGTGTTGAATTACAATAAATGTGCCGACAATAAATTATTAAAAATTCGTCACCCGACTTCGTACTGTACCATATCGAATATTCCAAGGTTGTCAACTGACTCAGTGCACCTATTAATACGGTTTAAAAAAATAAAAAAAATATTTTCTTTAAAATGTGTCTATATACGTTTATAATATACTCGTATATTTTTACTCAACTACTACGGTTTTCTTTTACTTTTCGTTCTCTAAATTCATTTAATAGAATTATTATTAATTTGTTAACATACCATATTAGGTGACGTTAGGTTATAGATCAAGTTTAGTATAATATGTAGGTATACCAGATACCTACATAACTACAATATACATATTAGGTATTCGTTACTCAATATGAATATTGAATAATGAAATGAATTATTTTCTGGTTAAATTCACCAGTAGAAAGTGTTAAGTGTAATTTAGTTTCTGAGCGTAGCGAGGAATGTATTGGGTTTACTACAGTGAACCCTGAGTAGAGAAAAAAATTGTCTTTAAGCAAAAAAGACAATTTTTTTTTTATTTTGTGAACAATTTTTTGACCAAAAATCAACGTTTTTGAAAGAAAACTTATAATGGATCTAATAGGTGCTTTGAGCTGATCATTTTTTGATTTCTTTTGTAGTTTTCATAAAAATGGGGAAAACGGGAATATGTACACAATTAAGGTTCCTGTTATTATCGGTTTTGTAGTAATTCATTTAAAAATAATCATATTAGCACTTTCTATAGACGTGGTGTTATTTTAATTTAATGCGTATAAAAATATTGTAGTTTATTTTCATCGAAGATTTAAGTTCAAAAATCTCGAAACAGCTAAAATTCGTTTAGAATCACTCAGGTGAGTTTGCGACGATTTATCGTTGTGTACAGATATAACGTACCTTCTTAACTTCTCACCTAAAACAGTATCTTGTTCATAGTGTCGGCTTTTAAAAAATATTATTACTATGCGATGTAATACAATCCACAGTAAATTTTTTTTTTACAATAAGTGCGAGTGACGTGATAACCTGATAAATTAAAATAATAATAGTTATAATTACCTATTATCAACGGCGTGGTAAATAAGATCTTTCTTATAGAAAGCTGAGGCCGGTTTCTTAATTAAGGGAAACAATTCAAAATTAATTACTATTAAAGTTGACAAGCTATTATTATATCAGCATTGTTATTTAACCATGGTTGCAGTGAAAAAATAAATACATACTTACCCAACACATCTCTCCTGCTGTGGACGTGCACCTTTTTGACGTTATACTTGATCGTTTGTTTTACAAATATTAAATATTCAATGTATTATAATATAATTATTTTTAAATCGAATGAATAATGATCATATTTTTATAAACATTACTTATAATATTTCACTGTACTTATTACTTGGATTTTAGACTGCACGGGAAATAAAACTAATCTATAAAAGAGCTGATACTAGGGACGGGTGCGGCCATTGTTGTAAGTGGGTAGTTAGGAAGGTGGAATACATAAGGTTATTTAATTTTTAGTTTCATACCTCTAACGAAAAACGATTTTGAGCGAAGTTCAGTTACGCAATTTTTTTAAAAAAACTATGCCCGTTTTCACGGCAACAACGATTGTTTAAACAAGATTAAAATAATAAATACTTAATAATAACAAGAAATAAATAAAAATGGTTGCCAATAACAACTTTATTTTTAATTTTCTAACATTCTTTAACCTAAAGAACCAGTTTTTCCTTATTATCTCGAATATTAATGAGAATTTCAAAAAATGACCTTTCTAAAGTATCAACTAGTCAAAATTAATCAATAAAGATCACTTGTCATGTTTTAATTGGAGCAATATCTCTAAGAGAAAATTTTTTTACAGACAGAACAAAAAATATACACATTATAGTAAAATCAATTGCTTCGCTTCGCTTCGCCTTGCTTCGCTCAGAATTTAAAAAAAAAAAAATCCATTGATAAATTGTATTTCTTTGTTGTTTATTACGTGTTTGTATATTATCACCTGTTATGTACGAAAACCGTTCTAAAAGCACACGTTCGCGTAGAAAGTGCGGTCCTGGTTGAAGTAGTTTCAAAAATTACTAAAATATTATTGTACACAAATGACCTAAATATTATGGTGCAGTGTAGTGCAGAGTTCAATATAGATAAACAGATATATTATATAGGAATAACAATGCATTTACTTACTTTTATAATATTATACGGGACCGTAACATAATATACCTTATTTAGATAACATCTCGGGTGATAAAAACTTTGCGGTTTTGCAAATATTCGTAACATTCTGGCACAAGTAGTGCACAACCTGTTTTGTGCAACACATTATGTGCAGTGTCGTACCTCAATAGATAAACTTACATTTTTAGCCGCATGCATAATAACTAACCGAAGAACTATATAATAACTATAATTATATATTTTAATGGCATACGATTAGACGGTAAATTACGTGTCCAATATTCATACAACATAATATTTATGTAGTATTTATGTTCGTCGACATAACTTATTTTAATATATTACATATTTAACACTTGTCAATATGTTTTTTTTCACGCAACTAAAATAATTACTACGCAGAAATTTACATTTAAATTACCTGTATATCGTCGACGGCAGGACACATTTTACTTACGGGCTGTTGTAATTCTCGGGCGTGTATTTTGTTAATCAAATTAAGCCATTACCGAACCAATCAAATGTTGTCAATAATATTCAAATACGACCTTTAACGTTATTATTGTTATTTTTTTTGTTGAAATTATTACAACTTTGGGGAAACGTTAAAAAGACTAACATACTAAAAATACAAACATTCCAAAACATCGCTTTCCGAAAAATATTGAATGCCCCCACCCTACGTGTCCAATCACTCCCTTCATACTGACACCAAACTTAAAACAATTAACGACGAAGCAAAAGCTTTTTATAAAAGATTCCATTCCAAACTTAACAACCACCCTAACGAACTCATAAAAAACTTGGCTACTCCCACCATATCTGGAAATCCCCCGAGACGCCTGAAGCGTAAGTGGTGTCGTGATTTCTTAAGATAAGTATAATTATAAAAAAAAAAAAAAACCCACAGAAAGTGCCATCGATGGGTGGCTTCTTTCATCAAATTTTCCACGTCAAACAATGTGACTCTCATTAAATATTTTTATTGTGTCTAGTCTGATACAGATTGTGTATTACGTGTATAATTAAAAAAAAAAGAAAAAGAAACTATTACGTTTGACAATTTTATCGAATAGGTATAGGTACAGAGACACACGCAGAGAATTAGCTCACAGGTGCAAAATACTTTTGTTGTTAATGAAAGCCGAGTAATATTCGTTCACTACACTCCCTAATGATATATCTGTATGAAATATTTGTACATCAATGATCAGTATAAAAAACAAGATATTTTTAAAACATATAACTAAATTTGTTTATTAGTTTTAACAAAATTTATTTACGAGTAGGCACCTATAGATTTATATTAATCACCGAAAAGCAACGTCAGCCGTCTAGAACTCAATCCAAACGTACCAATAATTTATTTTATTTGTTGTTCAAAATATACGCCCTTTCATGGCTGTATTCAGTGTTACTGCGTTTTTCACTTGCTATTGCTATTTTGGCCAGTATCATGGAAATAAATCGAGCAAAAAAGAATTTTTATGTTTAATTATTTATTCGAATAACCTAAATTATTAAAAAATTATTTTATCGATATGTTATTATTTTTGTGTTATTATTTTTTTTTACTATACTATATATAGTTCACTTTTCTTAATTTTCATTAATCGAAAAAAAAATTCGCATGTGTGTACTTACCTAGATTATTATGTATACACAAAAGTCATTTTTTTTTTTTTTATAAATTAAAATTAAATTGGCCTACTAATGAAACGGAGTCAGTATTGACGAGTGGATGGACCGCGAGAATAATATAATGTATCCCCTCTTTTCAAAGCCGTTCTAAAAATGTCACGCTATACGATTAAAGTATAATTGAGTTTTAATTGGCCTCATGTCATTTAAATGTATCGAAAGATAAATTGTTACTATAAATAAATCGTGTTAGATTATACTACTTGGTATTTGTCCGTATCGCGGGGCATTGCTGCAGTCACCTATCTAAAGCTCATACAAGTGATTCAAACGCCGTCGTTAGCTATAGAAGTTATATTATTATTTCTTTTTTTACCAGAACTATCCGAAAACCAACAATTAATCATGGTAAAATATCTTTTAGAACCAATACGATTAAATTGATTTATTTGATAAACACAAATATATATTAATAATTTTAAATTATGTGTGTTTTGTTGTGCCAAATAGTCGTGGATGGACCCACCTCCTCAAACCCTCGACTTGTCGGAAGGCATAACGCTGAGTAAAGATCAACTGAAAGGTAAATTATATCCTACCTACCCATAACGAAAATATTATTTTTATTTCAACATTGCTTATATCTATACTTTTATTGCGATTTAAAGTTTTGAGGAAAGCTTTCGACACGTTCGATACCGAAAAAAAAGGCAAGATCACGTGCGACAACATAAACGTCATCCTGGACATGTTGGGTCACGCTACCGACGCCGGAACCGTCAGAAATATCGTGGCCGAAATCGACCACCAAGGTATCGTTTTGTCGCAATAAATCGCAACAAATTAATTAACTCTTTTTTTTTTTCTCGTCAATGTAATTATTTGTATTGTGTAAAACCGGGCCGTGCCGATCTATTCAATTAGATCGGTTACATAATTTATTAAAAATCTGATAATGCAACTCGCAGACCTTCGGGTCGTCGTGTATAATAACACGGATAATAACATTATAATCTCCGCAATAACAGGCGCACGCGCAAAGGGCCTCCCAGCGAAAATTTTAAAACTACTATAATCGTACCATTATAATAATCATAATAATTTATAATGTTATTTGGTTTTCACTTTTAAAATATTAAAGTTATAGCCCACGCCCGCTAATTACATTTCTATTGAATATTTTCAAATGCGTTCGAATCGTTTATCAATATATAAAGGCTCTTTTGAAATTAAATAACGGTGTGTTAGACGATTTATACCATATTATATTTATTATTAATAATAAACGCGTAAGTAAAGTAATAATATTATAAAGTACCTTTATAATATTATTATTGAAATTTCCTAGGTTTACAGAATTGTGAGCACTACAATTTATCCAGTTTTGATGTCAAAATCGTTATAAACGCTTTTTAAACGAAAATCACAACCGAAACACGTAGTATTTGTGTATTGCATTTTATTCCGATGATATTATGAAATAAATTATTTTGATTAACTAACCGATGGCGCAGCCCACTCGTCTGTTTTGTTTTAACCATATTCCTACCTGTCTATAAATAATAATAATCCAATAAACAAATAACAATATTTTGATACGATCCTGAAACCTTCAATATCCTATATATATTATTGTAAAATAATGTTGTAAACAAGCAAACTGCAGTTGTTTATCGATTTGAAAGTTACAATTTTTAATATATTTTTCTTCAATAGTACATATACATAAATAGATACATTTATATTATGAGTATCCATAATACAAAACTAGGTAGCTATTTATTATTATTATTTTTTAAATTCGAAACCAATCAAAGATTGTCAACATTTTAAATTATGAGAGAATAAAACTATAAATTTATTTGATAGAAATCATAACTTTTATATGTTTTCAAATAGTTAGGCTGTGAAACACATTTCGATGTAAACGAGTTATTTTTGACCAAATAATAAAAAAATGATACAAAGCGTATACATTTCTATCACAAATGTTACTTATTTTTAATTTTTTTTTTTACATTTACAATGAATACTGCGGGCTCTTTATAAAACATATAAGTCAGTCATCTAATTTTGAAACTCAAGTGTTTTTAAATATCCGCGAGAGTATTAAGAACCATAATAATAATAATGCAGCAAGAATAATAATTGAACCATATTTTATCGTTAGGTATCTGGTATTATAGGTCATGTACATTTTATATTATAGTTCCCATCTACTGCAATGTTATAGAAAGCATAGATTTTTTTTCACGTACATTATTTAGTAACTGTAGCTCTTAGAATTATGTTATTTTAATTAGTTTGATACAACTAATGCACAGTAATCTGTATATTAATTTTTTTTTTTTAGATCATATTATTTTGACTTTATTTCCAATCCAATCGTTAATTTTAACGTTCAAAATATTCGCTTTGGTACATGTTATAGTTTTTTTTTTTTTTTTAATTAATATCGTATTATGTATAGGTACTACTTTACTTTTTCATTCTTTGGGGCGTAAAACAAACAGACCTATAAAATTAATACGGTTCTATAAATTTGTCTTGAGTATACACTGTTCAAATGTAGGTAAGTAGTAGGATATTTACTGTATATCTCATAATTAGTGTAATCTATAACAATAATCATATACACTTATTCTCTGTTCACTTGATTGTATCTACATTGTACAATAGTACTTTTAGTATTATTGACTATATGTATATGCAGTGTGTTCTTAAGCATACCAGTTACACAAGATTACGTGTAAAAAGTTGTATGAATTAATTAATTAATATAATATTATGGCTATTGTTACGAAAGTTATCGTGAATAATAGTGGTGCATTGTCAATAGAAAGTATTTGTAGTGAATTCTAAACAATGTATTAAAAAATACGTAAGCAATGCCTATTTTTCTTATTTTATTTTATTTTTTACTAAACGAACCTGTAGATCTGTTGGTATCATGTACCAAGTACCTACTCTATATTATTATTTTCTTTATTCTATAAGCAATCCAAGCTGAGTAGGATGAACAGTTCGAATACAATACTCATATAATATACGCGGAATAAAAAATATCAAATAAAATTGTATTAATGTTAAAATATATAATATTGTTGGCTTATATTTATTTTCTTAATATTATTTTTAATTGCAATAAAAAAATACAGCTTAATGTTTATGCTATTTTCGTATAAATACTTAGTGACTTTGAAGTTTGACTTGTGTGAGCTCAGCCGCAATACTTGTATAGCTTATTTTTATTTTTGTGTTGACATAAATTTAACTTATTATAGGCAATATTTTTTTGCTATCTTCTTATATTGATCAATCTATTTACAAACAAGGTGTTTCATATTTGATTACAACGAAACGGTTTATATACCGTGATTACAAGATTGTTTATCTTGGAACAAAATGAATTGATATTACCCATAACTGGTGACAAATTAAGCAAAACTAATTCACATAAAAATCGAATAGAAATTAAATGAACTTACTGTATTGTGTACATAAAAGCTTTAACAGTGAAACGTTGTATACAAATTAAGTTAATAAATTATCAAATTTTTAATAGGTATATATTTTTTAAATTATAAGTACCTATAAAACTATTAAATATTATATTTGATAATCCCAGTATCTCACCAAAAAATAAACCCTTTACAATATTTAACTTTAACTCAGAATCATGATAGTTATTATTTGAAAAAACAAATCATTGAATAGAATCAAACTTATTGCAAATAATGTTAAATTATACTGAATTTTTCGTATATCGATAACCAACACGAATACATTTCAATAATTTCTGTCAATTTCATTATATTGTTGTAGAGTATTATATCTTAAACGTTTATTGACTTTTTAAATTTATTTGAGTACATTTTTTGTTCAATTAAGTTAACAGCTACAGACTCTTCGAGATAAAACGTAACAGTTGTGTCATATCGTGTTACACTTACGTTGACAAAAATCTATGGAAAAATAATTTTATAATAAATTACTATAATATGCTACACGGCGTCATGATGAAATCGTAATATTATTTGAAAGGAAGGTCAATCGGACAATAGGCGAAGGTTCAAGCTTCTGTGTACGCATAGTCTAAGTTAAGCAAGCAATACCTAGGATCATTATTTAGACGTTAAGTACAGGGAGTTCAAACATTATTTAGTGATGGATCGCCAAATATAAAGTGTAGAGGTACCGTAAACCTTAATTGAAACATAAACAGCGCACAATGCTGCATTTAATCGATCGTACACTGAAATCATAATTCATTGTGTTTTTACAATTGATTTAAAATTAATAATTCATTCGCCAATATTTAGTTTACAAAACATACTAAACACTTGTATTGTGCGTTCTGTTTACTAATAATCTACTGAACCGATGGCGTTGTTTTATGGGACAGATTGCGGTATTCGTGCCATAGTATACAATTATTTATACTCACAGATAAGATTTTATTATAGATGCAAACAGCCCAAATATTTTTAGAAAGACTGAAGCCCCCGTAAAATTGATTTTATGTATACTTAGTATTTAGGTACTTGATAAGAACTTGATTTGGAGGCTTGGCTGAGTTTTGGGGGAAGGCTGAATCCCCCACCATTATCTTTTAGTTAATTTAATACCAATTGGTCTTAAAAAAAATTTTATCGTAATAACAAAATATTTTTTTTAAAATTTGTTTGGTAGAAATAACGTATGAATTCAATTTTCTGAAAAAGCTATCGTGTGTCAAATTATACAATAGTGTAATGTATACAGTTTATTCTACATAGTATACAATAATACTATTTTACCAATAGAATAATATTTAAAGACGAAAAACATGTGATGCATTGCCCCAAATTGAAAATTATTAAATCATTAGGTAAATTTGTTTTCCCCGGTTAATCTTTTCTCAGTGCATAATAATTTACGACTGTTGTACTTGAATAACAATATGTGTTACATACATTGTTAATGAGTATAATATACTCATAATATAATAACTGTATTACATTCTATAGTATAAATAATGAGAATATTAAATGAAATCAACTAATTAAAAAAAAAAAAAATCCACATTATGTAACTTATTAAATAATTGTTGTTCATTCAATTTTTATCCACGAGTAATATTACTCGTGGATATTACTTATAGTTTTTTTTTAAATATTATATATGTATTTTAATTAAAAAAAATAACTGCAAAAGGTTTCAGAGAGATTCAAACTTCCGATCTCCTGTTTATTAGAGTAGTGCTTTAACCATACTAAGCCACTGTGCGGTCGAACGAACGTCCTGATGTTTTAATATTTAATAAATAATATATAAGGAATTAGTTACAATAATTTTATATTCAATTTTGTATAGATGGCTTAGCGAATCAAGCCATTCATTTGCTTATAATAGGATCGCAGTATGTATCGTTTATTGTAACGGATTTTATCGGTAATATACAAGTAGGGAGTTTACATTAGAATGTCTGACTTTTAATTTATTTATTTTTTTTAAATTTTGATCTTTAAACAATTTTAATTAAAATATTTCAGTGTAAAAAGTCGACTAGTTTTACAGATATTGCTGTACAATATGTGGTTAATGTTGGTACTGGAAATAAATAGGTATTTTATTTGAAATGTTTTTTGATGCGGTAAAATATAATATATATCCATTAAAATATTCAATAGGACAAACTTTGATAAGATACTCAGAAATGTATTAGATTCAATGTGAAACGAGGAAGTTTTACTACGGGATGTGTTTTTTTCGGTTAATAAAAATACTATAAAAGTTTTACACTATGTAGATTTTTTGCCCGGCGGTATTCAATTTGAAACATTTTTCGATATACTCGTATATAACATTTCACCACCGTTAATATTCTTGAATTTTGGACTTTGAATAGAAATATTTTAAAAGTCTTCCTTAGAAAAAGAAAATAAATTAACGGTTGTAGCGGGCCAGTTATATTTTAAAAATCATATTCCGATGAAAAATAATAATAAAAAAACTAGTTTCACTATAATTTAAAAAAAAATATAGTAGCAATAAGTCGATGATAATTCCCATCGGTGACGAAGTTTTTGATTGGAGGAAGTTTTCTGGTCAAAATAGCGTAAACGAAGAGAAAAAAATTAAATTAAAAAACAAAAAAACACACCATTATAGGAAATCAATATGATCTCAAAATATATTGGCATTAAATATCATCTTTTATTATCTTTTTATTATTTTTTTTTTGAAAAATTTATTGTTATATACAAATATTACGTTTATCTATATAATTTACTATCGATATTGAAAGATCTTAATTTTTAAATAATATGAATAAAATATCAATCAGTATAGTTATCGTTTAAATGATAAAAGTACAATTATGACTTATTTAAAACAAATTGTTTTTTTCATATGAATTATATCTAGATTTCACATTAAACATTACACCAGCTGAATTATAACGTTATAAAATAAATTTCGAAAAATGCTGAGATGCAAATAATAAAAGCTTTACTAAAACGAAATGAATTTGGTATTAAGTTATATTATGTATATAGAAAATGTGTTATAGTACCTATATTATATTATATTTTTTACCTAGAAACTTCTGAAAATAATGTTAAAAAAACTTTTAGTTATTTATATATCTATCTACTTAAACTCAGGGTGAGATGGATATCCGTGTGTCATAATAAATAAAGAAAAAAAAAAACGAATGCAGAACCCAAAAAGCATTTCATATTTTCTCCGATGTCTGGAAAAGAAGTTTTCTGTATTATGTGCATAATATATATAATATATTATATAGAGATTTATAAGATTCAATATAAATGTGAATTGTGTATTCAATTTGATCCTCAAAAACTATATTATTAAAAAGTGTTGCGATATGTATTGGTAATTTTGAATCGTTGTAATATAATTATTATGTATTAGGCCTCTTAGGGAAATAGGGCTTAAGTTAATTTTTGTAATTTTTTATTATCATTCTATTTTGCGTAATGTAATTTTTATCTCTTTATTAAAATATATAGTCAACATTTTTTCAAAATGAGTGTATGCTAAATGCATACACTGTAATAGTGTATGTAATAAACAATTTAATTTGCTTGTTTTGAAAATTATACAAAATCAACTTAGGCCTTCTTCTTTGGGACCATTAAGCGTTTTTCGCTGAAGTTATATTCTTTCAAATTGTTTTTTATTATTTTGCTTGTTGTATAATAATATATTGTTATTGGCACTCTTTTAGTAAAACATACTTTATAATATGTTTAAAAGGCAAACCACCTTGACACGAAGAAAATACAATATTGATTATAGTTTTTAGGAATCATCCTATGCCCCCCAGTATTTTGATTTGTTTATAACGATAACCGTTAAAGTATTGTTAGTTGCAGTATGGTGTATAGGTAAATAATGCTCATTGATCTAATAATGCTCGCCACTCTAAATATAATTTACACGTATTTTTCAGCACCCATTGTCGGCCAAATTCGGGACAATGGGTGGCCTTGTACGGTAAAAAGTATTATATCTTTGTGCCGAAATTGGTGAAAATCGCCGATTGTTATTTTAATTTCAAATAAATAAACTTTACATATTATTACAAATTTTATAATGTACTATTAATTTTTTCGTGTTTATTTTACTTATAGGAACTGGTACATTGTCGTTCGATGATTTTTGTACACTGGCGGCGAAATTCATGACTGAAGAAGAAGAGGATTCGGAAGCGATTAAAACGGAATTAAGAGAAGCTTTTAGGCTGTACGACAAAGAAGGTATACACGAAAAAGTCTAAAGTGATAATATATTTCACTTTTAGTTGAACTAAAAATGTACATTTCGTTAATATTAATATTCTTTAGGAAACGGATATATAACAACTGAAGTTTTAAGAGAAATATTGTCGGAACTTGATAATAAAATGTCTGACGAAGAATTGGATCAGATGATCGACGAAATCGACGCAGACGGGTCCGGTACAGTCGATTTTGATGGTAAGTTTTATTCTTAATAGTATTCTAATAACGGATTTTTTTTCAACCTTCTTGTGGAATATTAATTTTGAAACTTTTCCATGTAAAAATAAATACTTGATTTAAAAATTCTAATAGTATACACATTATAATAATGGGTTCGTAATCTAGTACCTACTTACCGTTACGTTTTTGTTTAAAACTGGTTTTACACTTTGAGAATATTATAGACGTTGGATATCAAATTTAACAGCTATTAAACCTATTGTAATATAATAGTATTTCATTTACGGGTACGGAAGGAAGTGTCTGCTTAATAATAATAATAACGATTAACGGGAGTATACAAATATTCACACTCGTGCGGATTACTGAGTTTTTAAGCCTGTTCTTATATACTGTAAAAATAAGCGTACGGTAATGCGATGGAATCCGCTTCGGTGATGAAGTGACGGAATTGAATGGAAATTAAACTGTCAATAATAATATTCGGTAGGCAGGTGGCTTACAATTTTATTTAAAATTTGTCTAGAAAATCCGAGGCTATAATTTTATTGTCACTTTAGCTACTGTACGCATCAAGGGAGTACCTGGAAAAGGCATTTGTCCGTTCCGATACTTTTTTTGTATACTGAATAGTAATTTGTACCATTAAATATTATATTGAATTTCTATATGAATTTTTTCGGTGCAGCACGTTTGGGCACTTTTACCTGTTCCGAATTCCAAATCCACACAACGTTTGAAGGCAAAGTTCGGACACTCAATATTCCTAAAAACCTAGCACATTTGGGCGTTAAAATGAATAAATTATACACCTTTATTAAAAAAAAAAAGTTATAAAATATATACGAGTACATGCATATATTATACAAATATAAACCTGTGAATAAAATAACTCGTATCAAATCAAATTCGTATAACAATCCAAAAAAATATATCTATACTATATAGTTACATAAAATACGTGAGTACCTTTACACTTGTATTAAATCAAATAACTAGTATACACAATAAATATAATTACAACAATTATATTGTATTTCCTTGATTTCGAATTCCCATAATTTTAGATTTTGAGTGGAGCGAGGAAATTTATGGTTTTACAAAAATATTTCTTTTTTTCTGTTTTTTTTCGACTTTGGAGTTCCTACTAAGGTATATAATACGTAAATGAGGAATATATTACCTACCTATTCATACCAATCTAATACCTAAAACCCTGTTCTGTCTTTATCATCATTCATCACCGTCATATACACCGCACACCTCAAGAGACCAAAGAGGTTGTTTAAAATACGATAGTAATGTTATGTCCCCCGTCGTCGTCGCTATTATTGACAGTGTACCTACGTATATTAAAATAATTTACAATTAGATATTATTATGTATTTACGGACTTAAAGCCGCGGATGACTATTTACGGGCAACCGCATGTCGGCGGTGATATAGTTCGTTGTGTATACCCACCTAGTATACTAGATCGAAAAATGAAAGAAAGAAAATCACGTAAGTACGGGACGTCCCGTGGCTTTCGAAACGACGGCGATAGCTGATAATCATTGCTGCGCGGTAATTATTATCGCGATCAATCATGATCGTCGCTTCGATCATAACACGGCGGCCGACAATAATATACCTAGGTGTATACTCGGTTTGTCGCACGGTGGTCCGACCACTTTGTAACCGCGGTCCGTCACGATAAATTATTGTTGTTTTTTTTCTTGCCTCTCTGTTTTTCTTATTTTTATCGTAACGGATGACAACGGCGGCCGCGTACGCGATCGACTACTGATTAATGGTAATGACAATAACAATAATAATCGTAGTACGGTGTAATTATTGGTAGTTAACGGACCGATGGGCAGTCCGATGGAGGCAGAGGCGACCGTACGGCTGCAGCCGCAACTGCCGTATTAACGCGTGTACCACCTATGGATTATAGGTATAGGTTGTGTGCGTAATGTAATAATGTTATAGAGAAGTGATCGCGAACGCTCGGTGTGACGGGAAAAAAAGCATGATAATTATTATTATATTATTATTATCGATTGGCCCGGAGGATGATATAATCGTAATCGTACGAAATTGTAGGTTTTCAACTGTACGTATAATATCGCTGTGTCCGTCTCGTTATTATATTAATCGCCCCGGAACATTATAATAATTTTATAAATTATAATCGCAAAACGTGTTAATATTGTCCGGTTATATAATATTTTAAGTGCAGCACTTATTCGCCGTCTTGCAGGCTATTTCCTAAATGCCTAAAACTCGGACGGTTAACTAAATTTTAATATTAAATATATAGTATTATAGTTTATAGGCGAGTAGAAATCATCTGACGGTTCTGAAGCACATTTTTTAGATTCCGGAATTATATTATTGGTTTTATAAATTTGCTACTTTTATGTCTGTGACTGCTATTTTTCCCACCACTGTAGAGTGGTGGGAAAAATCCGGATTTGCCGAAGTTCGATAGTGTATTTATAATCGGGATTTTGTATTCTGAAACTTTGATTTGGATTCATTTAGCTATCGTGTTGTACTACCCATAATATGCAAGTGCAATAGTTGTATATTCTAAAAAAAAACTAATTAATTTTAGATTTTGAGTGGAACGAGGAATGTATTGTTTATTACAATGATGGTTTTTTTTTTAAATTTTTTTTATGTGAACACTTTCTACCAGAAAGCAAACTACGATTATGAAGTATAGCATCTTTTCTGAAAGGAAATGTTCTCTGGGTGGTGCTTTGAAGAGTTTATTTTTTCAAATTCTCATTAATATTCGAGATAACGAGGAAAGCTTTGGTCTTTAGGTTAAAAAAGATTGAAAGATTAAAAATAAGGTTGTCATTGGCAACCGTTTTTATTTATTTTTTGTTATTATTAAGTTTTTTTTATTATTTTAATCTTTTTTAAACAATCATTGTTGTCATGGAAACACACAATCATTTTACCATAATATGGTATATACCATATATTGAATTATTGACAAAGCAACACTATCTACTGAACTCCGCTCAGAATTGTTTTTTCGTTATCGATGATATACATTAAATTCCCGTCTATATCCTACCTTCCCAACTTTTCACCTATAATAGTGGCTGCACTCACGTGCGAAGTATGTCCGTCCTTTTTTTAAATTAATTATTTTTATTAACTTTTAATTTTTAGTTGAAGGCTTTTTATTTTGTATTCTTAACGTAACAATTATTATTTTCGTTAATTTTCTTATTATTTTTTTGGGGGTTTTTTTCTCCGAATTATAACCCAAAATCTTGCTAGATTTCTATAATATAATATTGTTCATAAATGATTATATAGTTATTCCGTTCGTAGGTACATCAGATTTTGCAATCCAGTGATGTATAATAATATAATATAACTAGTTACTTATACTGTATTACTGTGTCTTTACATGTATTTGGATACATTTTCCGTAAAATGCGTATCGTTTGATATATTACGTAGGTCGTAGGTACACGCAATTATTACCTTTACCAAAGTAAACATTGTAATGGTAATAGCTATTCACATAATACCAATTAAAATATGGAGAGGAATTAGTCGAAAATGTTTCACAAACATTGAATTATTGTATTTTATAGCGTCCCTATTAAATGCAGTAATTATTATATCGTTCAATGTGATGTGCTTATTAGTGAATTGTTATTAGGTATTGTCATCTAGTTTACTATAGTGTTTATTTCGTTAAGTTACCTATTTATAATATATTTGTACGGTTTATTGTTACTATTTTTTTTTTTTTTTTTCTATAAATACTTAAACTTTATTTTTTTAATTTTTAAATGAAATACAATTTAAATGATAAATGATAATTAATAATGATTTAATTTAAAATTATAATTTTTTTGACCAATTCAGTCACGAAAACAGAAAAATTGGATTAAATCGTTTATAGACAAAAAAAAAAAAAAAAAAAAAAAAATAAATTAAACCCCTGGTCGAGTACAACAGCTAGGAAAGTACCAAAAATATGTGTGCTATTGTTGTAGATGGGAAGTAGAGTAGGTAGGATAGGTACATAAAGTTATTTAATTTATATCTATTCGCAACGATTAATGTTGACGATATACGATTTTGAGCGAAGTTCTGTTAAGCATATTTACGATTTTCGTTGGAATTTTAACTTAAAATGCTTTAAAAAAAAAAATTGTCTACAATAATCTGCCCTTTTTTTTTTGGCCACTGAGAACAATGTTAAATGAGCCTCGTATTAAATTTTTAAGCGTTTTTGTTAGGATATACAGTTTTATTCACATAAAACCAAATAAAAAATCATAAAATCAAAAATAAAACAAAATTCGAAAATTCAAACGCCTAAAAATAGTGCTAAAAGATATCTAGAATACTTTTAAAATATTATCATCCCTAAAAAAAATTATATAATTGTTCTGTACAAATTTCGGGTTTCTACGATTATTTTTAATCTAATAATATTGAACAAAAAAAAAAAAAAAAAATCGAATATAATGAAACTGTTAATGTCGTAAAATGTCTCGGTCTTCTTCAATTATTAAGAAAACTATATGAAAATGTAAAAAAAAAGTTCGTTATGAAGTTAAGAAAATAATTACACGTCATAGTAAAATCAATACATTCTTCGCTGAGTTCAAAATCTAAAACGTTACGATTTTTTTTTTAAAGTTGTGAATAATTAAAGGCCACTTTTTAATATTTTAAATATCTCTATGTACTGTTTTAATTACATAAATTGAAAATCAATACGTCAAACCCTATTAGAGTACCTAAATGAAAGAGTAAAACTCTAAAATCACTTTGAAGTTGGAATGGTATAAGTACTTTTTTTTCTGTTTTACGTGAAATGTTTTTAAACGAATTCCACGATATTATATGATAAAAAATCGTGATTATTTTAAATTGAGATTGAATATTTTCAAGTCTATTGATTTTCATTCTATAATTTTGTTAAAATGTTTCCTATACGTGACTCCTTTAAATATTGGAGGTGTGATATCTTTTATTCAATTTTACTAAAAATGTACTTATCATATAATTTAAAAAACAGCTTATAGTTACCTATACTGTTGATGGGTGTGGTTATACCACTGTTGTAGCTTTGCAGATGGGAAGTTAGGAATGTAGGATATATAGAGTAATTTAATGTATATGGTATATCTGTACGAAAAGTGATTCTGAACAAAGTTCCGTTAAACATATTTTAATTAAACATGATTTTCATCAAATTGTTGTCGTTTGTAGGTTTTTTGAAAGCGGTAGAAGCTACATAATATTATGTATAATAAAACTAATGCATTTCTCTCTGCGTTCATAATTTAAAACATATACCTGTACTAAATTAAGATTTTCGATAGTAGTCGTTGTGTACAGAGCTATATTATTTCAATATTATTATTATTATTGCTCTAATATCCAATCGCGTATTTTAATCGTTAATCCGATAAACTAATTTTGCACGTGAAATTTCCATACTTAAAAGTGCGGAGAGTCGGCCACGCGTGAAAACTGGTTCCTAAAGATACCTATAGTATACCTCTATACTATATTACTGTTATATTATCATGTAGACGTACCGAATTAAAAATGCACGTACGGTCGCCATTGTATATCTCGGGTTCGAAAATAATTCTGGATTTTGATTTTTTTTTTTTTATCTCAATAATTCGTTTAAATAATTATTATGCTATACAATTATAATATAGTTTCAATTTTTTTTTTTTTTTCAGAATTCATGGAAGTGATGACTGGTTAATAAGTAGCGACACGAACAAAAGTATTATATAAATATGTATAAATTATACATAGTTTACAATAAATAATAAATGCCATGTTTATTTTTAAACAAAAGTAACGTCTACAAAAATATTATTATATATATTTCTGTAATCAATTTGTATGAACATTATATTTTATCGACTGTTTAGGTGCAATTTTGGCGTACTGCGGTTTAATGCGCATTAGATTTATGATAATAATAATAATAATAATAATAATAATAATCTATACATCCATTACTATTAAATATTTATTTTATTATATTGTATAATTAAAACGAATGATTATATTTGTGTTCCCATAAATTAGGTATTTTTTCTTGTTTGTTTTTTAAATTTTTTTTTTGCAGATTTAGCTGAAAACCCGTAAATGTGTTCTGAACGAATAATCACAAAATATTAGTGATTTTGAAACAAATAATCACGATAGTATATCATACCTATACTTTATTTAACCACTCAATGTTAATTACTAATATTATAATACTTTTTATAGTATATAATATAAAACCATATCAACAATTATTTCAAAAACTACAGTCTTATGATAATCATCGACAATATGCTGCATACATTTAAAACACATTAACATAATTCAAGAGATCAAGTGCAAAATTGTAAATGTATTTATATATAATAATAGTAAAACAATGTCAATTTGTGTATTAAAATATAATATTGTTTTAGAATTTGGGAAAATGAATAATTTTCGAAAACGAACAGAATTTCAAAATATCAAAAAAACAATTTGATAAATAGATAGTTAATTTATTAGGCACCTGCTGTTTGTTTAACAATGTTAATAAATAATAATTATAAACGTACACTGCACAGTTATTTCATGAGTATGATCAAAATTCGTATTATGCATAAACGACGAGTATAAATTATTATATCAAAATAATACCCGTACCTTACGGGTGAATACCGCATTATTATAGAATGAGAAATAAAAAATAAACTTAATTCGAATTTATCATTAACAAAATGTAAACATTTGATGATCATATAAATATTACGATGTACAATATATTTATAATAAATAACTGTTAGTTTAAACTAAATGGATGAATCAATTTTCTATACGTTTGTTATTTTAATGTATTCCATTGGAAATAGGAAATCGGATTTTCTCACGTGTTATTTCAGATGGTTTCTAATTTAAAAGTAATTCTTTATCCAACTGTTTGGATCCTGAATTGAATTGACTTTTTATTATCATCATTAACTGAAGATGGTCGTTTGAGTCTATATATTATGGGTTTTCAAAATTATTATTGAAATATTATATAAATCAATATTATCGGTGTATATATATATACGAGTATAATTTATATAATAATAACAATAATAATAATAATAATCTGTATAATATTCGCCATAAAAGCCATACTATAAGTAACTCGCAGTCTGAATTAGTTTATCAAATTTTTAAGAAAAATAAAGTCTCGAAAACAGATAACTATGAAAAAATATTTAAAATTTCTCAACGAAACTTGACATATTATACGCTAGAGGGCTAATACGTCATCAGTCATCACTATACGCTTTATTAATTAGTCTACAATGAATCATCGCCACTCATCTGCTAATTGTTTTCAATAAATTAAAAAACATTATTTTTGCGTAATATTATAGGATACCCAATACCTATCCTATCTATACCTATACCAATCGACGGAGAACAAATTCGTTAATGTTAGCGCATTCGTATATAATCGTAGGTAGGTGGTTTGGTAGTTCATATTTATTATGTGCGCGCATTCGGTAAAAAAAAAAAAAAAAATTATATTTAATTAATAATGACAACGAGACCTACGAAATGACTGTACGTCTTGAAGTTTGGCCTAATGAAGATATTGAATGACCGCACAGACTGTTACGTAAATTAACACTACCTATACATTATACTGCAGTATACTCAGTTGGCAACCGGCTATTCAATTAAAACTTGACACAATATCAACGGTTACAGAAACCATAATCATAATCAATGTGATTAATTAGTAAGAGACGTTTGGCGAAAAGATAATTAATTATCTAAACGCAAGATAATAGAAACACGATAGAGCGATTATAAGAAACGATTTTATACGTATAGCATATAATATTATGATAGGTACGGCAAAAGTATACGAACTCCAAGTGAAACCTGAGGTTGACCGGTAAAACCTAGCATATACAAAATAGTTTGGTCAAACATTGACTGATTTTTGTAGTTCAGACTTTTACAAACAAGATTTATTAAATGTTTGGATAAACAATAATAATTAGTGTCTGTGATACTTTTTATTCGAAATATTTTTCTAGAATTCTTATTAAAAAAAAAAAATGCTAAATCGAATATCGGATTTGGAGTCATAATCTATAGCGTGAAGATATCTGAACTTTTGAATATAAGTGTAAATTTCGAATCCGGATTATTTAAATTTCCATTTCTATATACACGAGGACTCATCGTATTTAAATTGTGTTATTTTTAGCATCTTTTGGTTAAACGTTATTTTTATTAGGAATGATTTTATTTTTTGTTTCTAATGATGTATCGTTCAATATTTTATTGTTTAATATTTTAAATCATCTTTTCTCCTTCCCAACTCACCACTCATAATAGTTGAGATGGCCTAATCATGATACGTTTGGGTTTGATGTTTTTTGGATAAATTATATTTCATTCGACACCGGTATACGTCGTATAACAAAAATAATTGTATACCGTATTGTAATGATTTGCATAATTTTATTTATTTTTGTACCAGGTGATCTATTTAAGTGGGCACACTTATTATCTTGGAAAGTATTAACTTTTTTTCAGAATTTGTTTTCTAAAACATTTAAAAGATAAGTAGTTCTAAAATTTTTTACTTATGTTATTTTTCGTCACACTTATTTTTGGGAGTAAACCGCTACCTACTTTTGATTTTTCAAACGGCAACCTATATTTAAAAATCCATAAATAGATGGAGTATTAAATAAAATAAATTTTAGCGGTGACATTTTTGATTTCTGGCAAGTCGTTAACGAGATATTCCAATTTTAAATTTGGGTTGTAGGAGAGTAGTGGTACTTTATTAACACGCCGCGCACTGTACCACCACAAAAATGATACTCCGCTATTTCCCTCCAACCTAAACTTAAAAGTGGAATATTTCGTTAACGGCTTGGCAGAAATCAAAAATATCAGCACTAAAATTTATTTTAACTAATACTTCATCTATTTATAGAATTTTTAATATAGGTTTGGAAAATTTGGAAAATCAAAAGTAGGTAGTGGTTTTGACCCCAAAAATAAGGGTGACAAAAAATAACATAAATATAAAATTGTAGATGTTCTTGTTTCTTAAATGTCTAAGTAAACTAATTCCGGAAAAAGTTAATACTTTCTGAGATAATGAGTGTATCCACTTAAATGGATCATCTGGTATGTGAACATGTGCATTAAGTATGCAATTTCGTATTTCAGAAAGAAACAAATACAACATTAAATAAGGCAGTCGAATGGTACAATAGACGTGTTAGGCACTACTGCTCTAGTAGTCTCGGTTTGTTCGTCTTAACGCCATACACGCAGACGTGTTGTATTGCGATTTTATTATCTGATCAAAGATACACTGTGTAAATGAATAATAATAAAAACAAAATCCTACAAAAAGAAAAGTTAATTTTTGTGTAGAAATACAGTTGTGGCTCATTTTCGGGCGTGGTTATGTAAAACAATAATGCAATTATCGTGTGTTATTTACATATCTGTATAATAGTATTATATTAGGTGCCTACTAAAATGTGTTTAATTATACACATACTATTATTGTACTAATTTCGATCTAATATGAATTTTAGATTTGTAGAGTAGCGATCGATGGATGTATTGGTTTTACAATGATGTTTATTTTTTATATTTTTCATATTGTGTTTTTATAATTTGTATTCTACCAGAAATCTTGCTCCAATATATTAAATGTAGCTTTTTTTTTTTGCAAGGAAATTTTATTCAGTTGGTACTTTAAACAGATCATTTTTTAATTTTCTAAGCGGATTTTCCTTATTGTTATGAAAAACTAGGAAAAACATAGGAAAAAAAGCTGATATTGGGGATGAGTGTAACCGCTGTTGTAGGTGAATAGTTGAGAAGAAGGGATACATAAAGTTATTAAATTTATATCTGTAACCAATGATAAACCATCACTAACGAAAAACGATACTAAGTGGAATTTTGATTACATTTGATATTATAAATCTTAAAAAAAAAATTCTTCATTACACTCAATTTTTTTCTCAACACTAAGTACGACTTAAAATGAACTCCCTGTCAAATTTTCAAGCATTTCTGTTCAGTATAATAATTTTATCGATAGAGTACTTACTAAATAAAAATGACGTAAAAAACTTGTAAAATTTAAATGTCTATAAATAGCTTAATAATATTGTAGATAAAGTATTAGGTATATTAATAGGTTTAAGACTTAAATTATCTTGATTTACGAATATGTCAACCCATGATAACAATATTATAAAAAGGTACGAGAATTGTTGTAACTGTACAATATATATCGTATATCAGAGTAATTCAGTACAAAAGGATCATAGAAGGAAAATTGCTCAGTGTCTATGACGTCATTATACCGTTTATCATTGTTTGATAATTATTGGAAATAATGCAATTTAGATATAATCTAACTTAGTATGACATCTGTAGGTGTTCTGCAATGCAGTAGATACCGCAATAGTTTAATAGTTGTAGTCACTAGACTGATAATAATGTAACATAAGTTGTCTTATTGTGATAAATACGCATTGAAAATATTAGGCATTTAGGCATGAATATTTTCATAAATTCAAGTTTTGAAAAAATTGGATATTATTTAAATAAAATATAACGATTTTAGTATTACATATTAGTATATTACTTATTTTGTTGTAATTCAAACAATTGTATTCATTTTTCGTAGGATAAATGGACGATTCCCCCCCTCCAGACTATTAGATATTTGACAAAAAAAATAAATACATTTCCTATAATTTTTGTGTATAATAATTTGGTTCAGATTTTCTTCTATCAAAGATATATCATCTGCAAAACATCATGTACCATGACACTTCCCGCACTTGTCCCCGCGCACCTCTGAGATGGGAAAATTCACCAAATTTTTGTTTAGATCTCCTCATACTATTTGACAGAATTTTACATCGGCTCTCGACCTGATGCAATCACATTTGTCGTCTCTTACGACAGATAAAGATACCGTGGGAGTATTGTGATTCTCTCCCACAGAGAGTGTGTTGAAAATATAAATACGTAATAATATTATTATATGTAATGCAATGTAAAGTTTTATCGCTCATTTACATATCG